TTTCATCAACTTCTAATTTTAAGAAACTTCGTTTTATTTTTGTGTAATAACGCAAATTTGTAATGTAGCTATGAGAAATTTTAATATACGAAAATAAATGTGATAATATAATAAAAATCTTTATTATTTTGTATAATTTTAAGTAGATAATATTAAAGTAATAAAATTTATTTGCAACATATAATATAAAAAAAATGAATAGGAAGATAGGTCAAACACGAGCTTAAAAATAAAATGAAAGTTTATTAATACAATAAACTATAACATAAAAGATGTGAGAGTTTTTTACAATCATTAATATTCGTAAACGGAACGTTTCGATTTCACTTAGTTACATCCTCAGCCATTTCAATAATTAGAGAAATTGTACAAGATTAAAACATTATTAATAAATTATTATAAATAAAATTAAATATTGGAAAGAATATATCAATGAAACTAATCAATGAAACCATATCAAAGGTTGGATAATATATTATATTAAATAAATTATTAAAAATTACGTCTTCTTTACATAATAGTTGTCGAAACTTTTTTCGTTTAAAGATGAAAAAAGTGAAATCAACTGGATAAGAGATTTTTTGAAAGTCTTAAGATAAATGAAGTCAATAGTCAATAAAAGTCTTAAGGTATATCTATGTATAAATATAAATAAAATTAAAAAAGTATTGCACCGAAAAAAGGAGTCAATATTTAAAAAACTTATTTGATTTTTCAAGATATGAATTCTATTTAGATAGAATCTGTAGAGAGATATGTCTAAAACAATGAGACGACTTTTTGTCAGAGCAAAAGTTGATAAATAATGGAAGTTGAAAACAGATATGTTATATAATATGATGTACGATGTACAAAAGGTCGATATAAATTAATGAAAATAAATCTAACAAGTAAAAATAAGAATTATTCATTCTCTCAATGTCTTTCTGTAAATTGATTTCATTTTTTTGTTCCTTTATATATAATATTTCTGAAATCAAATCTTTTATTATAATTAGTCTCAATATTTAAAATTTTTGTGTTATCTCAATGAATGATTAAAATTTAATATATGTTCCGTAATTATTGAGTGACTCGATGCATTTAATTTTAGGTTATTTCTATGTTCTTTTTTTCTTATCTTTAATTGTCTCTTAGTTTGTCCTATGTAAGACACCTCAGTCATTACAACAAACCTTACATACAACATTACTTCTTAAATCAATTTCAGTTACATCTTTGTGTACTTTGATAAAATTATTCAATTTATTTAAGCTTCTGTCGCTAATTTTTAAAACTGACTTTATTTATACACGCTGTTGCTGCTTCCGTAACATTACATATGCATGAAAAAATAAAAAAAATAAAAAAAATTACACCTACTTATAAGGTTTCCATTTTTCAACACTTAACTGGTCTTTTATTTTACTCCATAAAATAAAAGAAAAAAAAAAGAAATATTTTAATTTATAAGTTTTAAAAATAAAGTCCTTAATTTTATAAAATTTGTGTGTATGTAAATGTATGTGTGTGTGTGTGTGTGTGTGTGTGTGTGTGTGTGTGTGTGTGTGTGTGTGTGTGTGTGTGTGTGAGAGAGAGAGTAAAATATAACTTTTTTAATCTTATATTTTTTTTAGTAGCTAAAAATACATAAATAAGAATTACCATTCAGATATTGAGAAATAGAATCTTTGTGACACAGTATAATTTTTTTTTCTTATTCTCATTATTGCAAAAAATACAATAGTGTTATGTGACACTACTCGATTTTTGAACTTATAATTACATATATTTGTAATGCATCTTTAACTAATGACAAAGCGAAGAATATTCATATCGCTTGATTGTACTCATTTGAAAGTGAGAGTGAGCTAGTAAGATAAATGTTTACCGTAAAAAGACTGACGTACGCTCCGCAGCAGATTAATGTCAGCGTTTTCTTTGAGCTGAGGCTTGCAATTCGCAGTTCATCGGTACGCTCGCTTCGTGCTTCTCGTGGAAGATGACCCTCTCGTTGACCTGGAAACGCCGAATGCATTTCTTTTTTCGTACGTATTTAAAGCATCGCAAAGTGCGATGAGTGCTTTTTGAGGCGCCGAGATTATTCATTTATCGAGTGCGACGTGTCATGATCTTTTTCGAGAACGCCACTTCGTGGAGAAACATCGTAACGTAAAATACGCCTGCACTTCAACTCCGCGCACTCGTGCCTTTAGTTTAATAAATCACGCGATAACAGTCTTTGTAAAAATAAAGCAAAAAGAAGCAATCGCAAAAAAATACTGCGTTAAGCGCTTTATCGTTTCCTACTGTTCTTCGATATCATTAATAATTGTGGCAGTCATCGCTGCAGTGTTTCGGCGTTCAAGCACAGTTCTTTTTTACCTGCTGTTCTCATTCCGCTGATCCATTGGACTTCATGGCTTGCAAATTAATACTCTGGTCCATGGTATTGAATTATTCTGTAATTTATGCCGGACATGGCGTGTGTAATCAGCAGTTCGTGCATGCGGCGTTCATTTGTAGAATCGCTGCGCTTGTTTTGTGTTATCTTATTATCGGTTGTTATCGAAATATGTAATTTTTCAAACTGACGCACATAACGTCATTATTCAAATAACATACATAATAATATTTTATGCACGTCGTCTTATTAGGGAAAAAGTTCTACCTATTCAGCCGATAATGTGGCAACGTGACAAATTGTGTCGATAAAATATTGACTGCGTTTTAAATATAAATCCATAACTCTCTCCATATTTTTGGAATTACGCCCATATATTTACGTTATGCGCTAGAGAGAGAGATTGCCAGGAAAATATGGATTAAATATATGTTAATATAAACAAACAGTTTTAATTTGAAGATTAATGCACGTATAATTAAATACTCTTTTATTAAAAACCATATATTTGCGTATATTTATTACGTTATAGGGAAAATATTCAAATTTCCATAAATACGATGGATATCTTTATATATCTCTCTCTGTTATTACTTTCTAACATACAATAATAACATAATTATCTCGCAAAAAATGCATTTCAACAAATATATAACAAGTTCCTTCTTTGAGTTACCTCGAATGTTATTATATATTATACTCGCGCGAATGTAACATTGGGGGAGGTCGCACTAAATCGGGCAAACTTTTTCCCAAAAACTTTCTGGAGGATTTAATTTCTGACGCGTATATAACAATCTGTGATATTTAACGCGATGTTGTCAAAGGTAGATTCGATACGAATGGCCGTCAATAGCAACGCGGAGAACTTTGTTATTACGCAGACAACACTAATTTAAAATCGCTGTTAGCTGCGGATCCGCGCCTTCATATAATGAGTAACGATGGAACAATAATCAGCGGTGAGATAATTGGAGAACTACTGCTCGATGTGCAAATGGATGAAAGTTGATTGTTTTGCGGCGGTATCTGGAGCATGCGAAAAAATAATTAATTTGAAAACATTTTTGTGTTGTTTTATAAGGAGGTAAAGTGCAAAACAGCATGCGCAAAGCTAATGAATAACCTCGTATATTTTTTTTGTTTATCAATTTTAAGTGTTGTACGTTGTGCTGTTAAGTTCTCAAATATCTAATTCAGATAAAAACGGAGAATGATAAGATAAGTTTTTTTAACAATTTCAAAAAATACTTTTTTATCTACAATTTTTGTTTTCTACTTTTTAAAAAAATCTAATTTTAATAAATAATGTTGCTTTTCGGAAGAAGAGAATAATTGGATCTATAGACGATAAACAAACAGGAATGATTACAATTTTGAAGAGAACGAATATTTGCATATGATAGAGAAGACTGAAAAGGCGATTGTGACATCCGTTTCATGTGTTATGAAGCGTACGTGATATCCTCGGTATTCACAGAAGCGATTCAATGGCTTGAGGTGAATCGCTCCTCTCGTTCAAAGATCACTTCATTGTCACGTTTCCTTTGCGTGGAAATACTTTGACAAGGAGTCGCTTAACGACGATTGGCAGGGTCGCTTTGTGAGTTCTTAAGTTTAAATCTGACAGGTCAAGAGGGCTAATGACTCTTAACAGAAATAATATCTATAACATTCATATGCGATATCACTCCGTGAATTTATCATCATAATGTATTAAATTGAACATAACGTATCTCGACATGATAGAGAACATTTATGCATATTTACATTTATTATATTTGATCTGCTCTTAAATGATTATTTTTATATATGTTCCGTTTTATCAACTTATTTACCAATTTTTTTGCTTACGAAAGTAAATGTTTAGGTACTCCACAAAATATCGCTGTTTTTTTTTCAGTAATCAACTGATTATAAAAAGACGCGTACACAATGTTTTAAGAAGGAACTTGTAGTTTTTGTAAGAATAAGTTTTATTTCATAAATAAATATAAGACAGTTTTATTTTTTATTGAAATGTGTGTGTTAATGTAAATTCTTTT